TGTAACTAACATTAACACAATCTGTTGATTATTTCTACTTGTAGTAAATAACACTAACAATTTGTCATACTAGATATTTGGCAAAGAAATGATTGATAACAAGCACTTTTAATGTCAATATCAAAAAGATATACTCAGTTTCTGTTATGTGACATTAGGACTCTAGGACTTTTCTTGGTAAGATGTATTTTTTAATGATAAACAAGGTTTATCATTGTTATCATCTTTTTCTTTTAGCATACCATGCTAAATACCATGAATACTATTTTTAATAAATCTGCTCCATTTCCTTATTTTGCAAAACCTATTCTTTTAGCTAATTGAAAATGGTTTTGTTCTGTTTACAGAGTTCTACTTCCTCAACTTGAACATTTATTTTTACCCAAGGATATTAGATCTGGCATTCTGCACCACTTGAAGAAAATTGCGGAAAACAGTAAGACTTTATTTGTGTTTATTTAGTAAAAATGGTAGAAATCAGATATATATAAGTATGATATATATTTTAGATGATTCTGTGATCTAAATAACCCTTCAAGATCATGAATATTAGAAGATGGGACCCAGAAACTAAATTTTGGGCTTTGTTTTCAGTTAATTATGATAATGAAATAAGGAACCCTAAAATATTAGCATCAAATTTGATAGTGGAAAACACTCCAATTAATGCATGTGATTACCCACTACATAAACACATACTTCATATGTACACTGCAAATACGGATATCCATCAAGCTGGAATGCAAAAAATTCCATTCTTGCTGAAGGGCATATCTGAGCCCCTGAAACGTAATTCGAGTTACTGATACCTGGAAACTGTCTCTTTAGAGCATCCCACAAAATATCTTGGGATTCAGTGATTCATTGGTCTATAGGGAACATACATTCATTTTCTACATACTGATCCACCTAACTGAGCCCTACATGGGTAAATATAATCATTTGCTGATCAGATTTCAGCCTGGAGACTTGAGACTGATTCTAGAAGATAATAATAATAAGTACCTTACAATTATGTAGTGCTTTTCTGGACATTCCACTCCAAGCACTTTACAGGTAATGGCGATTCTCCTCCACCATCTGGATGATATGACAGCAGCCAAAGTGTGCCAGTACTCTCGCCACACACCAGCTATCAGTGGGGAGGAAAACATAGTAATGAAGCCAGTACATAGATGGGGATTATTAGGAGGCCATGATTGGTAAAAGGGGAAATTTGGCCAGGAGGCCAGGGTTACACACTCTTTGTAAAAAGCACCATGTTATTTTTGATGGCCACATAAGAGTCTGGACCTCAGTTTTCTGTCTCAGACAAGGGCAGATCCCTTTTTATAGGCTAGTGTCCCTATCACTATACTGGATCATTAGGACCCACACAGACTGCAAGGTGAGCGCCCTCTACTGGCCCCATTATCAGCTCTTTGAGCAGCAACCTTAACTTTCCCAGGAGGTCTCCCATCCAGGTACTGACCACACTCATGCCTGCTTAGCTTCAGTGGGTTGCCAGTTGTGAGTTGCAGGGAGATATACTGTAGCTGTTGGCTATAGATATGGCGGAAGCAGTGAACTCATTTTCATCATGAACCATTACAGAGGTTGATGTGTCTTGAACAGGGCAGGTATCATCAACAGGCACTCAGAATGGCACATCTTCTACAGAAGAGAAAGCCTCCGACACCATGTCATTCCTTTCATGCATACTACTTCCCTTAATAAGATGCAGTATGCTTTATTCTGTTTGGTGCTGATTAATACTTAGAAAGTAAGACATAACCTTTAAACACATTTCTATGAAGCTCGACAGAGACAGTTTTCCAACCATGAGTGATATTAATTTATTTTGAACGAACAGTGCACATTTTGTACCTGTTTCAATTCATCATTCATGCTTTTTCAGTCTACTTGCCCTGTGCCATTGTCATGGTTGTGCTATGTAAATCTTTTTCATTTCAGATACTTTCAAGATATTCAATCTAAATACCCAGGTTGTGGCGAATCTTGCAAAGCAGTGTTTACCCAAAGACTGGAAAGAGTGTTCTGGTCATGTGATTTGGGAAATTGGAAATGAGCTGCATCCTCCCACTCAATGGTTGCAGGAGTTCTGGAAATTTCTCATCCGTCATTTTGAAGCCCTGGAGTACTTTGTTGGAATGCCCCTAATACCTCTTTATACTCTTCAAAATGATACACGTGCCATAACGTTAGCTAGGTTGATGCAGAACACAACTCTGGTCTTTCAGAACAGCAAACAGGCCAGCTTATCAGGAGAACTTGCTGCGGTTGTTAGTAAGGCAGGGGGGACTGTTATTTCTGAAAGGGACAAATGTCTGAAACACCAGGATCTTGACACATACATTCTGACACCATCTCCAAGAAACATTTTGCAGCTTTTTCTAAATTTAGGAGCTGATAGAGTGATACATGGCATCAGCTCATCATCATTCGAGGAAAGAGAAAAACTATTAATTTATTTTTCAAGCTTGGAATCTTTTTCCAATGATGAAAAGCAACTTCTACTAAAATTGCCCTTGTTCCAACAAATGCCTTCAATCACAAGTACGTCTGGGGGCTTCATTGCTGCTGGATCAAAGACTGCTGTGATTCCGAATTCCACCCCTCCACTCCCTGATGATCTTCTCATGCCAGACATCAGGATAAAGTGTGCAACTCAAGCAGAGGAGAGGATTCTATCATTAATGAAAATCACCCTCCTAAACACAGCTGAGACAGCCACTGTACTAGTAAATGGAATTGAAAAGGGCTTGTATGATAGACAAGAAACAGAGAAAATCATGGTTTGGATTTTAGAGTGTGGCATCTTTCTTTTCCCCCAGAAGCAAGATTTACACAGAAAATGCAGGAATCTGTGCTTCATTGTGACGAATGGAAGGGCCCCAGTGAAAGCATCTAGCCTGTTTGACCCTTGCAATGAGACATTTAAAGCTTTGTTTGAGCCAGAATTTTTTCCACCTGCCATGTTTTCTGGGAAACAAGAGATGCTGGATAGTCTACGTCTACTTGGGTTAAAGTCAAAAGAAGGGGATATTAGTCCTGGTGATGTTTTACATGTTGCCACTCAAATCAGTCAGCTGCATGCAGTTTGTGCGGAAAAAGCTCTCACAAAAGCCAGAGCACTGATAAAAGTTTTAAACTCCACAGCTGTACTTTCAAACTTTTCAGAACCACAAATTCAGCAGCTTTTGAATACACAGTGGTATCCTTGCAACAGTCCTGGAACTGGCACTGAAAACCACAGTTCACTACTGAAAAGTTTCTATAAGCCAAAGGATATGAGAGATTCAAAGTACACAAATGTTGTGGGCTTTGTCATGCCTCTTACTCATGAACTGACTGAGAATGTAAGTTTGAAACTTGGTCTTCTTCGGACACCCCCAAGAGAAAAAGTATTTGAAAACTTGTCTGCTTTAATAACAATGGTAAATGAAATTAAAGATCCAAGAATGAATGAGAATTTGAATGTTATGCTACATGCCATGTACACATTTATGCAGAGCAAAATGGAACAGTTTAAGAACTTGATGCTGGACACAGACATGCCATGGATATTGATTAATGGTCAGTTTGTTTCCCCACAGGATGTAGTTTTATCCTATCCCCCTGATTTAGATCTTGGCTATTACATTCAAAGGGTGCCAGAAGAATTTTTGAGGTATAGAACTTTGCTAACAACATTTGGAGTGAAAGATGCATTGTCAAAGAAAGAAGTTGTTGACATACTTTATCACATAAAACATGCAATTGACCAAAGGCATCCAAAATTTGGTTCCTCCTCTGAACTGAAAGTGGCCATTTCAATTCTCAACTGGATGAGAAAGGAGAATGCAGCATTTACAGAAGATCTTCCAGTACCCGTAAGGACTGGGAATGAAGGAAAATTCAATCTGCAGCCCCTGTCTTCCACTGTCTTTTGCGATATTACCAAGGATGGTTTGGAAGACCTTGCTAAAGATGAGGAGGTATTTCATGTCATTCATGAGGAAATACCTGGAGTGACAGCAAAGTGGCTGGGAGTTCCCCTCCTTAGTACTCGGATACTAAATCCAGAATTCATTGGAATAGAGCAGAGTGGCCAAACAGAACCAATAACATTAAGAATCAAAAACATTCTTAAGGAGTATGATGAAGAAGACGACATCTTCAAAGAACTCTTACAAAATGCTGAAGATGCTGGTGCTAAAGTCTGTGGCTTTATGGTGGACAACAGGCAAAATAGAGAATCTTCAAACAGCCTTATAGACCCAGGTATGTCCTCCTGTCATGGCCCATGTCTTTGGGCCTTCAATAATGCACTGTTCACAGAAGAAGACTGGGTAAACATCACAAGAGTTGGGTCTCCCTCCAAAGACAAACAAGTAGAGAAAATTGGAAAGTTTGGATTGGGATTTAATGCAGTCTATCACGTGACTGACATTCCTTCAATCCTGAGTGGCAAAAACATACTTATTTTTGACCCAAATATCACTCATTTGGAAAAGCACATTCTAAACAAAGGTAACCCTGGCATCAAACTTAACTTGTTCAATGAAAGGCTGTTTCATAGGTTCCCTGGGCAGTTCAGATGTTACCAAGGAGTTTATGGCTGTAATCTTGAAGTAGACAGCAACCAGCGGTTCTATCAGGGAACTCTCATTAAATTACCTTTTCGGACACAGGATGAGGCAGAGACCTCAGAAATCAGTAAAAAAGTCTATGGTGGAAACCAAGTCCATAACTTAGTGACACAGTTAATGGAAAGTTCCCAGAATTTTCTGCTCTTTCTAAAGAATCTGGACAAAGTGTCGCTTGAGTTTCTCCCAAATACTGCTTCGGTTCCTCCTCAACATAAAGAGATAGACACTCGCATGACAGTTACAAGGCAGGTTGTGACCACCATGAATGCACCTGATGATTTTCCTCTGATTAAGATGCAGCTCAATTGTCTGCAGTGTTTAGCAAGTCTGAATACAAAATACAAAGAGGTTATCAACTGCTTTGAGATAAATATTGTCGAAGTAGCCAGGAAAACTGAAGAAAATGAGCTTGTGAAATACTGGCTTCTATATTCATGCTTTGGCATGGGCAGATCCTTGAAGATGGCAATAACTAAAAGAAGTGACCTTAGCTTTTCTCTACCAGTTGGAAGTGTTGCTGTACCTCTGAAGAAAGATCCAGCTGGAGTACATTGGGAACCTGACACAAGTCATTTTCAAGGCCAGATGTTTTGTTTCCTCCCACTCTCAATTTTTTCTGGCCTTCCAGTGCATGTCAATGGATCTTTTTCTGTAACATCAAATCGCAAGAACCTTTGGAAATCTGGAATAAAACACGTGTGGAATCAGGCTCTACTGGAAGACAGTGTGAGCAGTGCTTACATTACCGTGCTGGTAGTGTTGAAGAAAATGACACAGGAGGGGAAACTCAGAAATTACACTTGCTACACATTTTGGCCTGACTTTAAAAAAGTAAGGACATCTTTTCAAGCACTGGTCGTTGCTTTCTACTCTGCAGTTGCTCAGAACTTTATTGGCACCCCCGTTGAACTCTTTAGCAATGGGCAAAACTGGTGCTCAATAGAAAATGCCAGATTTTTGCACCCTGAAATAGAGAAACAAAAGGAAATTGGGGACATTGCATTAAAGGAGTTTTCAGACAAAGTGAAGAAACCTTGCTTAGCTGTTCCTCTTCCAGAGTGGGTGAGAAGCAGCTTTGAGTCAACTGGATTTGGCAAGGCAATTCAAGAGAACACATTTGACTGGTTTCAGTTTTACAGCAAAGTTGTGTTCAATAACCTACATGCCATGGATCCCAGAAACAGAAATGCTCTTGTCTTGCATGCGATTGACATGAATGATGAAGCAATCAATAATCTACTGACAAGTCACCCTTGCATTCCAACACAAGGTGGCAGGCAGCTCCAGTACATTGGGAAACTTGTGAATCCTGCAGGGAAAGTTGCTCGCCTGTTTGAAAAGGAGGAAGGCCGTGTCCTTGAAGGAACCTCAAAAGACTTCTGTTCTCCTCAACGGATTTTTAGATTGCTGGAACTCGGAATGCTGAGTGACAGTCTATCCTTGACTGATTTAGTGGAAAGGGCAGAGACCATTGCCAGTGTATGGGAACGAGATAAAGAGAAAGCATACAAGCATGTTTCCTGCATTCTGGATCTAGCAAGTAAATTATTGAATGATACCTCCTCACCTGCCTGGAGAGCCCTGAGAAATATACCATTCATTCCAGCTTGCCTTCCTTTAATTGTCAGTAAGGGAAAAGAGGCTGTCACACTTAGGAAGCCCACAGAAGTTTACATTTCTAGTTTTTGGAATCTGGTGAACATGACACAGTTCACTGTACATCAAGAAATCCAGTATGCATACCCAGTGAATTCCCATGATGCTGTCCTAGTAGAACTGGGAGCTCTGAGTAAACCACCACTGAATACAGTGCTTCTTCAGCTGGAGATGGCAGGTGCTCTATATGAAGAACTGGATGAATCTCTGCTATCTGAAGTGGCCATTCAATGCTATAAGTATTTGGAAAATGTGTTGAAGGGAAATAACCAATCCCACATTTTTGTTTATAAAAAGGCACAACAATATCCCTTCATACTTATTGAAAAAAAGCTTGTAAGTGTGAATACTGTGGCAAAGAAAGTGTCCTTTGATGCAAGACCATACCTTTACGAGCTTCCAAACTCTTTTTCCAAATTCAAAAACCTCTGGGAATGTGTTGGCCTTAAACATGCGTTTACTTCACAAGACTACATGGCTGTGCTCCAAAGCTTGGCTGCAAAGTACAAGGCAGCCGCCCTACCCCCTTGTGACCTTGAGCTCTGTCTCAGAATTGTTATAAATGGCTTGCACGAGGCCCATGACAGCAGATATACAGAGTATCTCTTGCCTGATAGCCGTGGTGTGTTACGTCTTTCCAGTCAGCTCTATTACAATGACAGTCCATGGCTGCCTGTTCCCGAAAGTCTCATTTTGTGCCATGAGCGCATTTCCCGTGCTACTGCCCTTCACTTGAAGGTACAAACAACTCGGCATCACATGCTACAGAATCATAAAGTCTCTGGATTTTCACCCTTTGCTAGCGAGTTTGGACAGCATGAAAAACTGACTGTGCGGCTGAGGAACATCATTGCATCTTATCCTTCCAAGAAGGACATCCTGAAAGAGCTCATACAGAATTCCGACGATGCGCAGGCAACTGAAATTCACTTTGTTTGGGATGCCAGGATGCATAGCACAAGAAAAACGTTTGGAGAGAAATGGAATCAACTACAAGGACCAGCACTGTGTGTGTACAACAACAAGGTGTTCTCTGAGGTGGACATGCAGGGTATTCAGCAACTAGGTGAAGGAGGAAAGAACAGAGCACCAGGGAAAATTGGAAAATATGGAATTGGGTTTAATTCCGTTTACCATCTTACAGATTGCCCAGCAATCTTAACAGGAGACAAATGGCTTTGCATTTCTGATCCACATCTCAGCTATCTGGAGCCAGCAACAAAGGAACATCCAGGCTGCAAGTTCTCACTAGAAACAGAATTCAAAAATGCATTTGTGGATGTGTATGATACGTTCCTACCATCAGTCTTTAATCTTACCGAAGGTACCATGTTTAGGCTTCCAATAAGGACAGATGAGATGGCTGTGACGTCAGAAATATCTAACCACGCAGTCAACTCCAGTGACATTAAAGAACTTCTGGAAGCTCTTTCTGAAGACCCCGAAGGCTTGATTCTCTTTCTGCAGCACATCAGAAAAATTGAGTTCCATCAATTCAATAAAAGTACAAATCAGCTGCAGACACTGTTCACTGCTGAACTGAAGCTATCAGAAGACAGCCGCATAAAAAAGGAACCTTTTCAAAAGCATATGCAGAAGACTTTAGCTTCAGACTTTTCAGAAGGATCCATAAGTCCATACCAGATTATGTACACCATGGAAGTGTTATCTGATAAAAAAAACAGTCAATGGATCGTGGCAGAGCAGTTTGGGGTGCCTAGTCAACACCACTGCACAAAGAACACTGACTGTAAGAGATACGGAAGAATTCCGCACGGAACTGTTGCTGCCTGTTTGAATGCTGAAATTGAAGGAAAAGCTTTTTGTTTCCTACCATTGCCGGGCCATACAGGCCTCCCAGTTCATGTTAATGGAAATTTTGAGGTGGACACATCCAGAAGGGTCCTGTGGAAGGAAGATGGCAAGAGTGAGAAGACTGACTGGAATGAGCTACTCAAACTGTGTGTCATTGCACCTTTGTACGCTGACCTGTTGGACTACATTCGAGCAAACAACATTAAAGGTCTAATGTCGCCTTTGGAACTTCTTTGTTATAGCCTGGAGCACTTCTACTTGAGATTTTTCCCCCATGTTTCAGATCATGTAGCACAAGAGTGGCAAGGAATGATCCATGAGCTTTACAAGTCAATCTGTAAAAAACAGCTGCCTGTAGTGCCTGTTTTATGTAAGTCAACTTGCCAAACTGTAAGAGAAACTTCAAAGCAATACACAGTCACCTGGTCTGCCTTTTCCAAGCCAGACCTAGCTGAAGCACCATATTTCACAAACAAAGAGAGTGAGAGCTTTCTTCAGCTTCTAATGGATGTTAGAATGAACCTGGTACCCAGTTCAAGGAGTATGGATGAACTATTGAAAAGTGTTAGGAAAGTAGGAGCTGAAGTCTTGGTACTCAACCCAGAGGCATTAAGAAACTATCTGAAGAAAAAGCTGCTGAATGTTTTGCCATTACCAGTCAGCCAGACATTAATCAAGAACAAGTTAAGATGTAAAACCCTGTTGGATTACTGTCTTAAAGACATTAACGGGAATAATTCCAGTACTTTGGATGGATTGCCCCTTCTACTTACTCATGATGGAATGCTGAGGCCTTTTCAAAGCACGGCTGCAAAATTCCTCACAAGGTTTGTTAAGTTGTTTCAAGGGCTAGAACACGGGTTTGCAGACTACGGCATTAACCACAGCCATTTTGATGTTCTTCAAAATGCCAATCTTCTGAAAGAATTGACAATTCCTCTCTCAGCAGCCTTTCTAACAAATCAACTCCGCACCCTTGTTCAACAGTCTGAAGTTGATTCATGCTCTTCGCTGCACATTCTAAATGAGAGGCTGTCAAACTGGCTAAAACTTTTGTGGCAATACATTGAGGATCAAGTCCATTCTGCAGCTCAGAAGAATAGAAAAAACACCTTCAACAAAGCAAAAGAGCTGCTTTCTGATTCTTCTATTATCCCTGTCATTTGCCCCAAACAAAATAACAAGCAATTACTAACAACCATGAATTCATTACCAAGTGTTGTTTTTGACTCACCGGAGGTATTAATTGCTATTCTTTTTAAGCTGGGGTTTGTCAAAGTAGATCGCTCCTTCTTCTCCACTGAATTTCTACAGTGCTACATCGTGCCTGAGCTGCTAAATGTGGCTGATAGGAGTGCTGTTTTGGAGCAACTGTACTCACAACAAAATCTAGAATTTGATAAGCTTAGTGGCTGTGACTTGGACAGCCTCCTCTTGTATCTGCAGGCTGGGTTAAGTGCTTCCAGTAATTCAAACACTTACCTAAGTAAGCTGAAGTCATTGCCTCTGTTTGAAACAGTGCAAGGGAGGCGTCAAAGGATTGACAGGCACAGAAATGTGTTCATCTTAAACACTGAGCTCATACACACATTTTCTGACTTGTACCTAATCGATAACAACTCTATTTTCCTCAAATATACTTCAACCAACCTCCACTTGTCCAGTTCCATGAAAATCGACATTCTCAATGATGTGGAGTTCTATGTACAGTTCATTTTGCCTTTCTTAAGCAGGCTGACTGAGGCTCGGATGCTAAGTGCTGTTCGAATGCTGCTAGAGATACAGAACAACTATGAAGACTACATACAACACAAAGACTGCATCCTGTCCCATTTGAGAAATGCAAGGTTCATAAAAGATATCCATGGCAATCTTCAGGCAGCCTCCTATTTCTATGATGATGAGGTTGAACTTTATCAGCTCATGCTCCCAGATGTACGGTTCATCCCCACAGAGTTTTGGTACAACATGGGATGTAACCATAAAAGGGTAAAAAATCTGCTCAAGGATCTTGGGTTTAAGCATGCTGTATCAGAGGAAGAATTAATTGAATTCGCACAACAAATTGAAAAGGATGCCAAAAGGAACGTTTCTCTTGCACTGTTAAAGAGAAGGTCTACTAAAGTTCTGGAGACCCTTTTGAATACATCCCAAGGGGAACTACATGCTTACGTTTTGAGCAGGATATCAACAATTAAATTTGTTTTCCCCCAGGAAATGCAAGAAGAACTACGCAGATACCATGAACCTTTTGCAAGAGACGAGGAAGCCGTGTCAATCAGCGGGTCACTCATTAAAATGGACTCAAAGTCTGAACTTTTAATTTGGACCTCTATGCCAATACTACCATTAGTCAATACTACTATAAGGCATGTAAATATACTGAAAGAAGCTGGAGCTGTCTGTAAGCCACCTACTGAATGTGTAATTCAGAATCTGAAAACCATCTGTCAAGTACTGTGCCAGACTCCTGCTATGATCCAAACTAGAGCCAACGTTCTCCGTCATTCGTATGCATTTCTGCAGACAGTAGATTTTGATGCTCAGTCTTTGATTGACCTTCCACTTATTCTGGTTGAAGAAGATGCTGCACTGGTTAAACCAAGCTGTGTGGTTCTGAGTGTGAAGGATGATAAGGATTTCAGGCCATACTTATATAAAGTTCCTTTCAAGCTAGCAATATACATTGACTTCTTTCAGAGTGTGGGTGTTGCAGAAACCCCTTCTGCAAAGCACTACAGCAGCCTCCTTAGAGATGTTTATGAAGATTCATCTGACAAGCAAACACTAAATGCAAATCAGATAAAAACTGTTAAAAGAGCAGTGGAACATCTTTTTCATCTGTTGACAGAAGAGCCTATGGAGCGCCAATTGGAGCATCTCAAACCCTTATACCTGCCAGCATCAAATGGCAAATTGTACAAGTCAGAATCACTGTATTTTAATGATACAGCTTTCCAGGTTAAAAGATGTGAAGAAGTCTTGGAGATGAAATTGAAATTTCTTGAAAAACTTAGCAAGTGTAACCTCAGTAGTGATTCCTATGAACAACAGAAGCTGCTTCAGATGCTGCCTAAGGAGATCTGTCCCAAAATGCTGTCCAAGGTCACAAAGGAAGACCTCATGGATGCCACTTTGAAAGTGTGTGAATATGGAGAACACTGTGAATTTTGGGGCTATTTTGATAACCGTTTGTCTTCATCCTACTTTCAGCATGGACTTGTGTGTCTTATAAGAGGACAATTCAATGGTAGTGTGTCTGAAAGTGATGCTGTTAAAATGTGTGAACATATGTTTTCCAAAATTCAGATCATCTGCTGTGAGACACTCGAAACAGTACTTTTACTTAATAATGAACCCCTCAGCAATACTGAAGTTGAAAAGCCAGTATATGTGAAAAGGAATCAAAATGGCTGCACTTTTTACCTGCTACACAAGAATGACATGATCCTGAAGGTAATATCTAAAATAAATGGCTGCCTAGTAATGGAGATCAATGCCTTTTTAAGCAATGTGTTGAATCAGGAATCACTCTTGATTCTTGGGCAGCTGCTGGTGTGTGAAAACTTTGAAGACGTAAAGAACGTTTTAGAAGAGAGTGGTATACAGGACAGTAGAATGAAAGAGGATGGGCAAAGTGACCTGCCAGAGCCTGGCAGTATTATTCCCGATGAGTGGATTGACTCCCTTGACATGGATTTCCTCAATAACTTTGAAAAAGGAGAGTATGTTGGCTACAAGAAGCCATCATCCGAGGACGAAATTTATTGCTATGCAGTTGTTGTGGAAGTTGTGAATACAACAGAAAACCAAGGAGGAGCAGCTTTTCACAGATATAAGATCAATATAGGGGAAGATGAGGTCGTTGAAGTAAGCTCCCTTGACCTTTATCAGTTTAAGAGGCCAAAGAGATCACCGTTTTCCACTAGAAACACCTGCAGAGCACTTGTTCTCTCTGAACGTCCATCAGAGGCTCCACCTTCACCTGATAGAACCCCAGGAAAATCGCTGGAGGAGATTAAAAGAGAAATTGACGAGTGCTTGAAAGACATCTGGTCTCTGCTGGAGGAAGAAAGACAAAAAGCAATCAGACGTCTCTACCTGAAGTGGCATCCAGACAAGAACCCAGAGTGTGTCGATCTTGCCACAAAGGTCTGTCAATACATACAACAGCGAATCAAAGAGATGGAAGAGGGCCAATCTGCAAATGGTGCCAGAGCCAACAACTCCCCTTTTAGGACCCAAAGAAATCAGAGCTATGGAGGTTTCTACCAGCGGTGGGACAGGGAAGCATCTCGACATAAAAAAGGGAGGACTAGGTTCCACCAACGCTATTCCTCATGGGAATATAACTTCTGGACTTTCCACGGACAGCAACAGGAGAGGTCTAACATTCCAGAAGCTCAGCGCTGGTTCAGGCAAGCACAGTGTGACCTTGCTGCTGCTTCAAATGACAGTGGAGACAAAGCTTCAGAATGGCTCTTCTTCAAGGTCCACCAAGCTGTTGAAAAGGCCCTGATAGCTGCACAGTACAGGAAAAATGGGAACCAACCAACACATAGCACAATTACTCATCTTGCCCAGCAGGTGTCTCAGTATAGCTCTAAACTCAGCATTTTACCTGGCTCAGTACACATGTTAAAAGGATTTGGTGTTGATGCCAAAAAGACTCAGTATCCCAGTAGTTATCCTTTACCACTTATTCCAAATGATAAGTACAGTTCTCAGAATGAAAAGCAGGTGCTAGAACTGGCAAATGAGGTTTTGACAAAGATACACGAATTTGTTTCTGAATGAAAACTCACTTAAAAAGGAAAGCTTTGTTTTTTAAAATAATGTTGCTGTTGTCCTTTTCCCTATAATATCACTTTCTAAAGGCATGGTCTAAGGCCTTTCTAAAGGCTCAAGAGTATGTATTATAAGCACATGGAAATTGTTTGCTTTATATCTTTAATTGAAAAAAAACATTCTGGTGCTAAACATTTATACTTATTTTTTTACCAGCAATCCTAGATGTCTAGCATTAGAACTGAATTTGAGTTACAGCAAAAAATGTTTTAAAAGCTGATAGATCATTTCTGTCATAAGGTTTTCATGCTGATGTAATTTATGAGCGCACTAAAATGAAAGTATGGTTTGAACTTTTGGGAAGGGTGTTCTAGTGAAAGTCTCTCTTATTTAAATGTGTGGCTTTGAAGAGTGAACTGGAGGGTGAAGGTCCATTACTTCACTTAAAAAGAAAACGTGTACCCCTTTGGCAAAAATTCACCCTAAAGATTTAGGATCAGTCACTTAAGTGTTAGCTTAAGTAAGCATTGTTATTTTTGTATTCTTTCTATATTAGTATAATTGCACAGTTGTCATATTTTATAAGAAAATTATAATACAGTATAAAATCCAATTATTTTTACCCTCTGCAAGCTTTGAAATTTTTCTACTAATACTTTGCTTTACAGAAACAAATGTATACTCTGTATATGATGGTATCCTGTTATTATTGTGTAATATTATAGTGATGTACCTCTTTTATGGGAGTGAAAAGGTTTCAAAGATGTAACTCCGATATCCTAAAATTACCCTAAACTTAATTACATTTATTTAGATGTGTGCTTACATTGTTTCAGTACATAAAAAGTACTGAAATCCATTGTACAGTAAATTGCCCATTCTTATATGTTTAGGTCAGGTCTCATTTGTACATGAGCTTGGTATCTTAATTCATGTTATACCTACACAAACCCAAAATGAATAGAGATATAACCTAATAAATTGTTTTCTAATCTATTTGTCAAAGCAGTGTGATTTTTTTGTGAATTCCTCCTTATCCTATTGCCAAGAGGCTGGGCCTCAGCCAAGCAGGTTAAGACCAATTTACTATGACTAAAACATTCAATAAACATTTTCCATACCCTTCATTCTTGGGTGTAGTTATTTAAAGTAAAACCATACAGTACATTATCAGAAAGGCACTTATCCTGGTCTGTGTCACAGCAGCCTGGAGTCTATCCCAGAAGATTAGGGTGCAAGGCTGGACTGACAGCACATGAATGACTGCTCTGTCTGGACTGGGTTACACACAGAGAAAGGAATACTTTAGAAACACATTGTTGCAGTGATTAGCATAGCTGCGTTTCAGGGTTTAATAATTGGGTAGCTATCTGTGTGGAGCTTGTAAGATCTCCTTGTGTGCAAGTGGGTTTCCTCCAGGTATTCTATTTTCTTACCACAGACCAAAGACATACTGGTAGGTTAACTGGCTTCTGGGAAAATTGCCTCTGGTTCGAGTGTCTGCTTTGTGAGGTACAATGTTTCTCAAATATGGTTGTTAACAAACTGATGTGTACATACACCAAAGGGATGTGGTTCTCTAAAAATGGGAATCCATTCTTGAGGCAAACCCTAACATTAATTTTAGTAGCTTTACTCACCTCTTTATCTTATTGACAGAATCCCATCAAACATAAAACAGATACAACCCCCCACTCTCAGAGCGCTGATATAGTGTTCTGTGTGTGGGGCATAGCCATACTGAAGAACCAGCAAAACCTGTAAGATCTCGTGTTGGTTCAGGAGAATAGAGATACACCATTCTAGTTTGGGAGTTGACCGCAAACAGGATCCAGCCGTTCTGGAACCAGTCTAGTGAAAGGGACCACATACATTTGCAGGCTTAAAGGAATACCCTACACTGAATCCATTTTCATATCCTACAATATGAAATTCTACAGTCCTGCATTTTAGTTGCGAACAAGCTACCTCTCCGTGATTCCAACACTGATGAAACCTTCTAAAAAACCTGAGACGTGGAAAACATTTTTATCAATTTCTGTAGCATTATAGCAATAGCCTTTTGCTCTTTTGTTTTTAATTCTTATTTTGCTTTCTATTTCACCATGCCACAAGTCCTACTGTCCAGTTTTTCCAGTATAGAAAATATTACAAAGCATTTTCTGTATATCTTTATACAGATATAAAACAAAACTAGGATATTTAAATTTAGCCTTTGTCACACTTCAGGGCTCGACGTGAATTCTAGTTGGAGAGCGTGTCAAATTTAACGACAGCAGTGGCTGAATCTCGCTGCCCTTTCTGTCCTAGAGGGTGTTGAATTATACGACTAGGAATCACAGGGGGTGACTAATCACACGATTCACGACTTTTCGTCACGGTTCCAAATCTCGTGTTGCGCCGCGAAAGTACCGCGAGCCAATCAACGTGGAGCACACCGGAATAAGAAGAGGGGCACCGCGCGAAAGTAAAACAACAAACACGAAACATCGAACAGACGTCTGTGCTAGCTTCAAAGTTCGACGAGCCTTTCCTCCATTTGCACAGTCCAAAACACTCGCTTTCCTTCTTTCCTCGCAGCCACCGTTGTTCTTCACTGTTTGTGGGCAGTGTGTGCATTGTACTAACGGATAAGCATTCAGTCGAAGAAAAGTCTTCACTCAGGTTCGGTGTGGTCAAGCAGAGTCCTTTATTCATGTGCATGGGGAGATTATAATAATGCAGATCTGAGAGCAGCCTCTCATACAGATCTGTGAGTAACCACTCCCCCGAGATGGTAAATGAAATGAGTTTTCTACAGCAAATTCACACAGGAAAGCTCACTCTAAGTTTCCATATTAGGGGTTGTTTTTCTCTCTACAAACATTTCTTTGTAACTGACCACGTTCTTCTTATGAAGCGGTTTTACCTTGTATACAGACAAAAGGAAGTATATAAATAAAAGGCGGGAAATGAACTAGACATTCTGCGGTTGTAGCATTAATATCAAAAAGTAAAATAATATGCTTGCAATTGTTCTTTCATACTGTTGCTGGGTAAAAGGCATTTTTCAAAGCCAACTAGTCACTATCTTATACACTTTTAAAAAGGTAAATGTTAAAATTCTTCCTCAACTCATTGGCTGTTGACTGTTGCAGACCCAAGAGCCCACCTCTACGATTTGAGTTTGATATTATCGTAGTGAGCCGCAGAGAGTCGTAGGGGCTATTAAGAGCACTATAACCGAGTGTCTCACTACACAACTGACGGTAAAGGGTGCGGCGCTGTGACTTTCCTACGGTTATGGAAATGAAGGCTAAGACTGAAAATCCTAGGAAACACCGTGTAATGTGTCCTACACAGTAGAAACTGTCCCATTTCCAACGGTATCTGCGAAACTCTGAGTTTTAAGGCCTCGTTTCAGATTTAAAAAATAACTGAAACAGAAAACAGAAAGAGCTAAAAAATATTAAAATCTGTGAATCATCATTCACAGTCAGCTTCAGGAAACTGATCGCTGGCTCGCTTGCAATTTACAGTACAATGCGCATGACACCTCTGAAGGAGCTGGCAATTTAACACATTTAAAAAATCAGGGTGTAGAATAGCAGATTCTGTATAGTGTATGCCCCAGTGAATGCTTTGAACTCTGCATCCGTAAATATATTCTTCAGCCAATGGCATATCTCAATGGTGTCAGTAACAGGACCTTGTAATTACAATGCTTCTTTTACAAGATCACAATGTCTTCACCAAGGGAAGACAAACATTAAACTTGTCATTACCCAACACCTGAACAGATTTCCTTAAGTTTTATTCAAGGCAAAAGTGACTGACACTGGTCATAGTTCACTTAGGTTTAATACAATATACATGTATATGATTATATGTAATAATACATGGCTGTATATGAATATAAACACATTTTACACATGCCCAGCATCTAAAAAACTAGAAACTTGATGCATTCAAACAACTCATATGATTTACTCTGATCTTAATCACACAGCACCAAAATGTGATCATTCGATGGAAATTCTTACTCCAACAAATTTTGTTTTCATGTCTAAAAGCACGATACATTAACCTAAGCAAAGAGAAAGCATTGTGTGTAGAGAGAGGGAAATAAAACTCTTACTGTCAAAGAAAATCTCGCACCATGAAGCAAAAACTCAAAGCTCAGCTGTGAGAAACGAGGTTCCTCAGAGAAACTTGGCCACTTCCACGGTGGAGAGCCGGGCGAAGAGGAGGGGAGGCTGAAACAACAGAGTATATTCAGTCCAACGGCAGGGCTGGATTCCCAGTGCAAATATTGCATCATGGCAACAATACTGACATTCATGGAAAAAAATAGCATTGCCTTCCTAAATAGTAGTATTCCCAGCTCCTAAAAAAAACGCAGTGTGCAAGATTAAAAAAAATAACTTGGTGTACAAATGCTACATCTACTGATAAAATACAAGAACTATGCATCCAGTAGGGAGGCTACCTCTTGTAGCATGGTCTTCTAGGTTCACTCTCCTCTTCTGTGAGTACGTCAGCACTTCCCTGACAAGTGGAAGGCCACACAGGTATCTTGCTGGCCGGCTAGAAAGCCGTCCCTAAGGTGTGCTGCCTCTACCCCCCCCCGGGAATTAACTGGGATGACGCCAGGGTCCACAAACACCACCAATTTGTCATATGCACAAGTGCAATGAAATGCTTATTTGCATGTATGATCTGAAACAAAGACACCAAAACATAAACACAGAATAGCAGCAACAAGTTCAATAGCATAGAACTTAATACAAAAAGAGAATAAGAAACCTCAGTGTGAGCCAGTGGTAGGGGTAGAGTTCACCAATCTCACAGCTTGTGGGAAGAAACTGGTTCTGAATCTGGAGGTTCGTGCCTTTATGCTCCTGTAACGGATACCGTTGGGAAGGGGGGAGAAAAGTGAGAAACCGGGATGACGGGTGTCCTTATTGATATTTCCAGCCTTCCTGAGATAGCGATTTGTAAAAATGTCCACAACAGAGGGGAGCAGTACTCCAATGATGGACTGGGATGACCTGATCACCCCCTGTAACGCCTTTCGGTCAGACAACGAGCTAATGCCAAACCGCACTGTAATACTACACATGGTTAATAATAAAGGCAATATAATTATTGGCTCCCTTGATAAAGATGAACGAAAAGCCGTATTACATAATACACAGCCCAGATAATGAGCTATAACAGGGGTTCCCAAATTTTTGGGTCCGTGCCTCCCTTCACCTGTCAAATTTTCCACAGGCCTCCCCTGTCTCAAAAATAAGTTCTATGGCAGTGCGATATTTTACGAAAGATTATAAATTTGAGAAGGAAACGATAGGTCACAATAAAAACAAAGTGATCCAATTTTTATTATTTTTAATCATTTTCAAAACCAAAATACTCGTACAAAAATAGTAAAAATAATTCATAATATATTTTATTGGAATTATTTGAATGTGCAAGCAATTTGAAAAAATTAAAAAAAGTCAACATCTTGGTAAAATGCAAATAAAATGACTTTTAGAAAAAGTACACATTTAACATTAATGTTTTAAAAGGGGGAGGAAATACAATGTCTTTTTGTTGGTGCCTCTTAATGGGTTGGGTGGGCTTGTTTTTCTTACATAATTCATCGAAGCTGGGTAGTGTTTCTGAAACGGCAACGCACATCTCCTTCTCAACCTTGATTCTTGATCTGATCTGTGCTTGGAATTGATGACCACAAGTGCTGAAAACCCAGCCTCACCAAGGTAGGAGGTTGCGACAGGAAGCAGAATTCACAGGGCTCTGTTGCTTATTTTTGGTACTCCTGCTTCACTAGGCTCCTGGGTTCTCCTAGGGTATGAACATTGTCCACAATCGTGCACGTGAAACCGAAAAGCAAGTAACTGTCGTCATACTTCCTGTCTTTGCATTTCCATTTCTCTGTAGAACTAGGCTCCGTGTCCTTCACTTCATGTTTTTTACTCATATTTAAAAACCTCTCCATTGCGCTCGTGTAA